AACAGTGAATCCTTCTTCCTTTGGTGACTAAGATCTATGGGCAACATGTCAAACTGTGTAAAACTTCTGTAAATATATTTTAACTCTAAATGTAATCCAAATGCTGAAGGATATGGATAAGTGCCATATACCAATGAATTCCATCCAGGAGATTAATGAGTCTCCACGGTAGAAGGGACCACATAAGTCATTCATTCTAACCTTTCAGCTCACAAGGAAGAAATTAGTTCTCAGAGAACCTGTCATTTCCCAGTACACTCAGTGCCGACACAAGAACCCAGGCCACACGACACCTAATGCATTGCTTGATAAGAAGATTGCAAAGCACCATAATCTTAGCGCAAACAAAGAGAAAGTTTATGAAATCAATTCCCATTAGCCTGGAGGAAAGCCTATGATCTATTTAGGAAGCTGGACCCCTGAAAGATAACCTATGTTGAAGTGCTATTTCTTGGTGTCTGTGAGCCTTAGTATCCTTAGTCTCACAGGTCTGGAGCCTATTTGGGGTTGACAGTCTGAACTGCCAAGAAGTTAGTACTGTTACTAAGAGACCACAGATGCAGGGACCTTGTCTTACAAACTGGTGCTCTCTAGAGTTCACTCAAATCCTTGTGAGAGTGCGCCATGACAACTCTCCTAGGAGAAGCTGTTGAAGTTCCTGGGGGTTTAACTAACTCCATGGGCAAAACACAACTCCCTATTTCTAGTGTAGCAAGTCTCAACAGCAGTGTTAGCTTTAGTTCCTCCAATATGCACATACAGGACCCAATAGATAGACAATTATTTTGTCAGAGACACAACCATGTAACGGTTACGTGCCAAGGTTATACAGACAGACTGTCCATCCTGGCTCTGCCATTTAACTCTGACCTTGGGCGAGCTTCCTAATTCCTCTGGCCCCCTATTTTCGCCTCTATAAAATGGAAATAATTACAGAAACTTATCTCATGGGATTGTTTTCTTCTTTCGTTAAAATAATTTTATTGGGGGCTCTTTCAGCTCTTATAACATTCCACACATCAATTGTGTCAATCATATTTGTACATGTGTTGCCATCGTCATTTCCAAAACATTTTCTACTTGAGCCCTTGGTGTAAGATCCTCTTTCTTCCCCTCCCTTCCTTATCCTCCCACCCCCTGAGTCCTTGATCAACTATAAATTGTTGTAATTATTTCGTATCTTACACTCACTGCTACCTCCCTTCACCCACATTTCTGTTATCCATCCCCAAAGTGGGGGGGGGGCTATATCTCCAACTTTGTGATGGGTTTCCCCTCTCTCCCCTTTCCCCCTCCTAAACTGTCCCCCTACCATCATGATATCACTACTGTTGCTGAGGGGTTTATCTGTCCTGAATTCCATGTGTCAAGAGCTCTTATCTGAACCAATGTGTGTTCTCCGGTCTAGCCAGATGTGTAAGGTAGAACTGGATCATTGTACTGGGGGGAAGTAAGCATTCATGAACTAGAGGAATGATGTGTGTTTCATTGGTGCTATACTGCACCTTGGTTGAATCATCACTTCCTTGTACCCCTTCTGTGGGACGATATCCAATTGTCTACAGAAGGGCTTTGGGTTTCCACTCCAAACCCCTGCATTTGCATCAATATAGTTGTTTGTTTAGGATCTTTTGATACCAGATCCCATCAACACCTCATGATCATACAGGCTGGTGTGCTTCTTCCATGTGGGCTTATTTGCTTCCCTGCTAGATGGCTGCTTGTTTAACTTCAAGCCTTTAAGAGCACAGATGCTATTATCTTTTGGTAGCCGGGTACCATCCTCTCTCTTCACCACATTGGCTTAAGCACCCATTTTGTCTTCAGTGATCATGTTGGGAAGGTAAGTATCAAAGAGTGCCCGGTTTTTAAAACAATGTGTTCTTGTGTTAAGGGAGACTTTAAGTAGAGGCCCAAAATCCTTCTATCTCAATACTTAACATATAAATATATGTATATTGGCCTCTATCCCTTTCATTATAAATTAGTATATTTACATACATACATGCCTTTAGCTATACCTCCTATTTCTTTCCTCTATTTTCTTTCACCTTCCTCCCATCCCACTATCATGCTCAACCCCCATTCGGCTTTCAGTAATTCCTTTAGAATACATTGTACTTATCAAACACCACCAAACATTACAGTACATCAACAAATAGATATCAGAAACTCAAGCCAGATTCAGAAAAGTAAGTAGAACAAGGGATACTAATGGTGATATAAGATGGATCTGGCTATAAGCATATAATACCGTTAAGATATTTATTTATTTTATTGATTATGTAAAAACATTGGACAATGTGGATCATAACCAACTATAGATAGCATTGGAAAGAAGGAGAATTTCAGAACATTTAATTATGCCTATTCAGAATCCATACATGTATCAAGAGGCAGTCATTCAAACAGAACAAGGGAATACTACATGGTCTAAAATCAGGAAACATATATGTCAGAGTTATATTCTTTCACCTTACTTAGTCTGCATGGTGGGCAAATAATCTGAAAAGATGATCTATATGAAGCAGATCATGGCATTAGACTTAGAAGAAGGCTTATTCTTAGCCTGCAACATGCATATGACATGACCTTTATTACTGAAAGTGAGGACTGGAAGCGCTTGCTGATGAAGATCAGAGATTGCAGCCCTCAATATGGATTACAACTCAACACAAAGAAAATCACAATTAGACCAACAGGTAACATCATGATAAATGGAAAACACATTAAAGTTGTCAAGGATTTTTCTTGCTTGTCTCCATAATCAATGTTCATGGAAATATCAGTAAAGAGCAGCAGTTAAGAGACAAAACAACGTATTGCACTGGGTAAACCCAACACACAGGAGTGTTGAATATCAAAGATGTCACTTTGGGGATAAGGTACTCTTGACCTGGATTATGGTATTTTCAGTCACTTCACATGTATGTGGAAATTGTACTTTAAATAAGAAGGACTGAAGCATTTGAATTGTGGTGGCGGTGAAAATGTTGAAAATACTTTGGGTTTCCAGAAGAATGAACAAATCTATCTTAGAAGAAGTAGAGCTAGAATGCTCCTTATAAGTAAGGGTGGTACTTCAGGACCAGTGGTGAGAGTGCCAATACCGGGAGGGTCGAGAGAGGGTGGAAGAGAGAAAAAGGGAGAACCGATTACAGGGATCTACATATAACCTCTTCGCTGGGGGACAGACAAAAGAAAAGTAAGTGAAGGGAGACACCGGCCAGTGTAAGATATGACAAAATAATAATTTATAAATTATGAAGGGTTCCTGAGGGAGGGGGACACAGGGAAGGAGGGCGAAAAATGAGGAGCTGATGTCAGGGGCTTACATGGCGAGCAAATGTTTTGAGAATGATGATGGCAACAAATGTACAAATGTGCTTGACATGATAGATGGATATACAGATTGTGATAAGAGCTGTACGAGCCCCCAATAAAATGATTTTTAAAAAGAAAAGAAGTAAGGGTGGCCAGACTTTTCCACTCATGTGCTTTGGACATGTTATCAGGAGAGACCAGTCCTTGGAAAAGAACATCAGCTTTGATACAATAGAAAGGAATTAGCAGGGGAAAGAGGACCCTCGACTAGATAGATTGACACAGTGGCTGCAACATGGGCCACCACTGTAAGCACTGTTGTGAGGAAAGCACAGGACGGGGCAGTGTTTCCTTCTGGTGCACATAGGGTCAGTTTTCGTGAGTCGGAACTGTCTCACCTATACTTAACAACAATGACAACGAAACAAGGCTGTAAGGCAATACAGAATGCGCAAGGGGCTTGGAATGTGGGCTCACACTGTCCTGCCTCCTTGGGGCAGAGTCTTGACTTGCTCCCCTCTGCCCCTGGCAAAGAGCTGGACAGAGATACTCAGAAAGTCAAGATGGGCCATGAGCCAAGTCACAAGGTGGGGCTTTGGGCACCTTAGAGGGTCTCCATTAGTCTGGTGAATAGCCTCATTGCCAAGGAAACAGCGCAGTAAGTAGAAAACAAGCTTCACCATGGCAGGTCAAGAGCGACACCAGAGAAAAAGGGAATCCCTATAATCTCTCTTCCTGTGTTTTGAGTAGGGGCTCCATATTTCCAGTTGGTCTAGGGCTCCACTCATTATGCAACTAGCCCTGGTTGTAGAATTTTAAACCGACTCCGTGCTCTTCCTGGGGTTTGAAGTAGGAAGTTCAGAGTGCCCTTCAGTTCTTGGTCTTCAAGGGCAAGTTGCTGTCCTCTGACACAGTGAGCAGACATGAATCGGTTCATTATGGACAAAGTGACAAGCTGAGTAATGGTATATCCTGGTAGTTTTCCTGACTAGGTGGTGGAAACAGGAATAGCAGCGGGGATAATTAAGCACTTGACTGCTAACAAAAGGGGTCACGGTTCAAACCCACCAGCAGCTCCTCTGGAGGAGAGCTGCTCTAAAAATGACAGCCTGGGAAACTATGGGGGCAATTATTGTCTGTTTCTCATAGGTCACTATGAGGAGCCCTGGTAGCATAGTGGGTTACACATTGGACTGTGATCTGCTAAGGACTGAAGTTGGAAACCACCAGCCACCCCTTGGGAGAAACATGAGGATTTCTGGACCCATAAAGAGTTCCAGTCTCCGAACTCACCGGGGCAGTTCTACCCTGACTTTCAGAGTCAGCAGCAACGTATTGGTAGTGAGTTTGAAGAGGGTTTTTGAGAGTCACTATGAGTCACAATCAATTTGATGGCATATAGCCATAAAATAAAAATTATGATAATGCTAACCCTGTGTTAGTCAATTATACATACACTCACTTAATCCTGAATTCTGTTAATTATGGAAGGTAATTTTGCTCTTATGGGAAAGGAAAATTTCAACAGTCACTTCAGAAATTGGAAATTTGTTGATGGTGTAAATAGTATGGCTTTTTCTTTTCTTTTCCTTTTCTTCCTGTTTCTTTGCTTTCCACACACAGGCAGAGAAGAGCACTGGGTGGTTCCTAATAGGCTCTCTTTGATTATTTTCCAGAGCGGAAATAGAATGCTGTGTTCCATCATCCTGAGCCAGCACCAAGGCCCTTCCATCATCAACTGTGATGATGAGAGCGGGAAGACGTGTGTGCACATCGCTGCAGCGGCAGGCTTTGTCGACATCATTCACGACCTGGCGAGAGTCCCTGAGTGTAACCTACAGGCCCTGGATGTGGACGACAGGTACCCAAGCCAGCTGAGAAACTGATGGACACTACCAGTCACTTCCAAATGTTAATCTTAAAGATGTTTAGGGAGTGATCCCCAAGAGCCATAGCTTCAGTGCCAGTAATACTTATGGATGTGTTTATGACAACTAAAACTGCTTTGTTTTTATCGGGGCAGGGATAAAATGATGGTGGTGCCGGGGAACTTTGACACTACAGGAACTGTCACATTTGTGACTTCTTTTCTTTTTTTTGCTAAGCATTCTGAACACTCTCAGAGGTTTCTGTAGAACAGCTTCCTGAGATAGGAACATTTGTTCTTTGCAGTGGGTTATTCTTACTGCCTAAGTCCTGGATCGTGACATAAAGTCAACAAGTTCTTCTCGTTCAGAGGAAGGCTTTTGTATTTGGAACCATTGGTCGTGTAGAACTAGAAGGGCCTGGGTGAATTTTCATTCCTCAATCATTAAAAATTCATTGACACAAAAAGGGAGTTGGGTTTGAAATGGTGAAAGACATACCACCGAGTTAGTTAGTGAGTAACTTGATGAAGACCGGTGCCCTTGCTTCCCCACGCAGAGCTGTCACCTGCAATATCCTGCTTATCTCGCCTGTACTTTGGTTAAGCATTGATTCCGTGTTAAGATAAGAACAAAATAACAAATAAGACTATTGACGATAGGGATGAGGCTTATTCACACTCTGTACCCTAAGTTCAAATTCCACATACTGCTCAGCATAATTTTGGAGTTTCCAGGACTGCGATGAGTCAGAATCTACCCATCTGTAAGAATTAAGGGGTTTGTTTGTTTGTTTGGGTGGGTGGTGCAAACTGTTACTATGCTGGGATGTTCATCCAAGGAAGAAAAAAAAAGATGGTGGGAGTACACCCACAGGCACCTCCGAAGAAAAGGCTGACCATCTCCTTCTGCAAAAATAAGTCACTTAAAACCGTTTGGAGAAAAAGGAGAAGAACCGTTATAGAGTACTCTTTAACACACATTCAGTCCCCATGAGTTAGTCAACTTGACAGCAATTGGTTTTTAATCATGATTTCAGAGGCCCCAAGAAAATATCTCCTACTTTATGAAGACTGGGTGTTGTTTGTTGATTTAGCATGACACTTTTATGTAATTCTCAAAAGTGGGAGATGGCTAGTACAGAGTTATTTAAATTGACATTAAAGTATAAAGCATTCAGAATTGACCTCTTCCTAGTTCTTCTCTGAGAAAACACTAAATGGCTCACATGATACTAGTGTAGCCGAGGGGCCCGAGGCCCAAGATCCTGAGCCCATGCCTACTTCTGCTGAGGCTTGGGAATCAGCTTGAGGTGCCAGGATCTGAGCCTGGCTCAGGGTTGTGGATGAGCCAAAGTCAAGGACTGGTAAAGGGTGGTCCCCTGTCACCAAGCTGGGTCGTCTGATCAAAGAAATAAAGGTAAAGTCCTTAAAGGAAAACTGTCTGTGCTCCTTTCGATCAAGAATTCTGAAATTAGTGACTACTCCCTCGGGATGTCTCTCAAGGCCAGTGCTTTTGAGAATCATCCCTGTGCAGAAACAGATGCACGCTGGCTAGGGACCAAGTTCAAGACCTTTGTTGCCACCAGGGATTACCAAAACCACATCTGCCTGGGTACCAAGCACTCCAGGGAGGCAGCCACTGCCATCCTCAGGACCATCCTCTTGGCCAAACTGTTCCTTGTCTCCACACAAGCAGTGAACAAGATCCACTGGCTCCAACAGCTTCCGTGCAATGTGACTAACAGCTGTGGCTCTGTGCTGATGGGCTTCCTCTCAGCACCTAGGGTCACTGGCATCCTCTTCTCCCTCTTTCCCCAAGAAGCTGCTGATGCTGGCCTATGTTCACAACAGCTCATATGCAAGTTCAAGTTGAAGAAAATTAAAACAAATCTATGAGCACCAAAACACAAACTTGCATATATCCCAGCTGAACTTAGAGTCCATCTCGAGAATAGATATGATTAATTGGACACTAAAAACTGGAAACATGATTTGTAGGGTGACATCAAGAACATCATACATTACCATGAGGGTAGGGGGAAGCTGGGGGGACGGCAAAGGGGGAGAAAGGGGAAACCAATCGCAATGATCAATGTACAACACGCCCCGGGTGGGGGACAACAAACAACAGAAACCCAGGTGAAGGGAGATGAATGGTTTAAAATATGAAAATAAAATAATTTATAAATGATCAAGGGTTCATGATGAGGGAGGGAGGGGACTAAAGAGGAGCTAATACCAAGGGTTCAAGTGGAAAGAAAATGCTTTGGAAATGATGATGGCAACATATGTACAAATTGCTTGATACAATTAATGTATGGATTGTTAAAAGAGCTGTAAGAGCCCCCAGGAAAATTATTTATTAATTTTTAAAATCAATTTATTGGGGCTCATACAATTCATCACAATACATAGATCAATTGTGTAAAGCACATCTATACATTTGTGCCCTCATTATTCCCAAAATTCGCTTG